AGGCAGCCCCGCTCCCCACCCCCACACCCCCCACCCCACCCCACCCCACCCGGGGGAGCCCAGCCTGGGGAAGGGCCGCCTACTGCCTACAGGCCTTGGCTGCAGACCCTCAGATAAACCACACACATTTTGCAACCACTACAAACAGCCACTTCGCCTGCGAGACACTCACCCCCACACACCCCCCTACACACACCCACCCACAAACCCCATACACCCTCCCCCCCACACACACCCCCACACCCCCCTACACACACCCACACACACCCCCATCCACCCCCCATCCACACCCCCCCTACACACACCCCCCACCACACACACCCCCCTACACCCCACACCAATTCCCCTACACCCACACACACCCCCCCACACCCACACCCCCCCCACACACACCCCCTACACCCCCCCCCCCACACCCCCCACCCACACACCCCCATACACCCCTCCCCCACACACACCCCCAAACACCACACCCACCCACACACCCCCATACACCCCTCCCCCACACACACACCCCCACACACACACCCCAAACACCCACACACACACCCCCATCCACCCCCCCCATCCACACCCCCTACACACCCCCCCACACACACACCCCCCTACACCCCCCCCCACACTCCCCTACCCCCACACACACACCCCCCACACACACCCCCTACACCCCCCCCACACACTCCCCTACACCCCACACCCCCACACACACCCGCTACACCCCACCCCCCCCACACACTCCCCCCTACACACACACACACACCTCCCCCCCAACACACACACACACACCGGCCTCTCGCTAACCCTTCTGCCTCGGATGCATTTTTTCCTTCAATACAATGTTTACACCAGTCCCTAATCTCCCCCCACCCCTCACCCCCCCCACCCCCAGCCTCCCCCCCCCCTCCCCCAGCCTCCCCTCCCCCCCCAACAGTCGGACAGTCATAGCCTCCCCCCCACAGTATATGCACTCACATGTCATGCCGGATGGCCAGGCATTGCTCGCTGTCCCTGCCAGGCGGTGTACAACTGCCCCCACACTGGCTGTGTGCAGGGCCGGGCGGGGAGTGCCGGGCAGGGAGTGCCGGGCTGTGCAGGGCCGGGCGGGGAGGACAGGGCAGGACAGGCGGGGAGGGCAGGGCCGGGCGGGGAGTGCCGGGCGGGGAGTGCCGGGCTGTGCAGGGCGGGGAGGGCAGTGCCGGGCTGTGCAGGGCCGGGCAGGGAGGGCAGGACAGGGCAGGACAGGCGGGGAGGGGAGGGCAGGGCCGGGCCCGGCAGCAGCAGCAGGACGGGGGGGGACAGGGAAACTGTGCTCAGAGCTCATAAGCTCCGCCTCCTCACGTCACATGTTGTGTCAGACAGCGCCGCTCCCATTGGTCACACAGCCGTCACTCAGCGGCCCCCGGGGGGGGGGGGGGACCTCCTGACTGACACCTCTCTCTCTCTCTCTCTCTCTCCTGTCACTCACTCCACAACACAATAATAATAATCACAATCCTGGCCTTTCATACAGAGCCACACCACGTCTTTGAGGCGTCTCAAAGCGCTTTACACAATGCACCGCACAGCGAATTGACGGTATACTTTGTGGGCAAAACCGTATCCCATTATTACAGCAAATGACATTTGTGGAGCACCTTTCAGGTCAGGAGGGGTTACCTCAAAGAGCTTCACATATAACCTGTAAAGTGCAGTGACTATATATTTTTGTGGGCAAAACACGGCAGCCAACGGTGCACAGCAGTGTCCCACAAACAGCCGTGGACTGAGTGACCCATTTCATTTTGTTGAACAAAGCTGCCGTGTTGGTTGTGCACATGAAGGCTCCAGCGAGAGCGTCCCCACCCCACCATTTTTCACGGAGAGATTAAAAAGGCAAGCAGTTACAAAGAAGAGGTTCCTGAGGTGATGGGCTGCGTTCTGGGAGAGCAATATTCAGAAGTCTGCAGTCCTTTCATGTGCCTGGATACCCTTATTAATTTCAGGACAGACAGCAGACTGGATTTGTGCACCCAGACAGGGAACCAGACTGCCCAGACCCAGTTCCCAGGAAGATGGTTGAGGCTGGGAGTCGTTAAGAAGGCAGAATGGGAAAACATAGTGTAGATTCTGTGCGGAGATGAAATGCACCAAAACCAAATAAAATTAGTCACTCCATTGGCTGATTGTGTGACATTGCTGTGTGCCAACTGACTGCTGTACTTCACCAACAAAATATACAGTCACACCTCTTTACAGTATATCCTGTGAAGCGCTTTGAGATGTCTCAAAGATGTGATATATCAACCTCTTGTGAAAAGGCAAGTGGGGGGGAGGGAATGATTCTGAGTGGAGCAGAGGCCCTCTGTGGATCTTGGGGACCGCCCCTGCTTCCTTTTTCCTCTGATACACAATTGTTTGCAAGTCCATTAATAATAATAAGTGTAAAATGTACATTTGATAGGTGGCTTTCATGTCAGGAAGATAACTAAAAGTGCTTCACACAACTTACTGTAATGTGTAGTTACTGTGATTTTACAGGCAAAATTAAAAAGGGCAAACAATGGGAGGTAACCTTGCTTCATTTCTTTCTGTGCTGGTGAGGCGAGGGCAGGCCCTGTAAAGCCGACTCTGGCTTTAGCAACATCTCTGGTGTACTTATACTGCTGGGAGGGAAGCCATTTTGACCTACATCGCTTTAAATGCCCCATTTGAGGGATGGGAGACAAATGGACAAGGTCCACCTGAAGATGGTGGGGCGAGACACTGACATCAGGTTTGTTTGTCTCTCAATGCCTCCCAATGCGGTGTACATGGTCCCCCCTGCTGTGCCTACCTCCATTCACGCGAGCCCTGTCCCACCCGTTCACCCTGCATGGCTGGCAGCAGCCTGGCTCACAACCATGCAGTGGAAACGTGCCTTTGATAGGAAGCCCTAACGCACACAGCTGTGCGTACATGACTAAACCCCAACCTACCACCTTCCTCTGGTTTAGCTCGCGGTTTGAAAGTGGCAGTGCCCTCGGCCTCCCGTTTACAATGTCTCTGGCTCACGGCTAAGTTCACTCACTCACTAGTGCACGGACAGACAGCATTTAGAAAAAGACTGCACTCACACACTCGGGGCTTGGGGTGGGGTGGAAGAGGGGGAATCAGGGATCAGTCTGCAGTCAGGGTTAGTATTAAGCACTGACGGTATTGTCCTCAGAGGGGAAGGGAATTCTCCTAACCCCTTCGCATCCCACCACACCCCCTCCCCCACCTCCCATCTCTCCCTCCCAGGCTGGTTGCTGTGCTGGTGCTGGCCCAAGTGTCAAGAGTTTCCCTTTGATGTCTAACACTCTTCATCCTTCGGTGGGCTGGCCCTCTGCTCTGCCTCGTCCCCCAGCTGGGGGGTTTCGGGCTGGGGGGGCTTGAGCTTTCTCTTTGGCGGATTTTTTAGAGTGCCCAAGCGCTCCTTCACTTTGTACTCCAAGGTGCTGTGTGGAATCCCGTAGGTGCTCTGCGCTTTGGAGACACTCATCTGCCCACCCATCACCACGGCGATGGCCTCCTCAAGGATCTGGTTGTTGTACTGGCGGTAGCGGCCTCGCTTCTTCCTGGGCTGTTTGGAGTCGCTGTCCTGGTCGGAGCTGGCTTGTTGCTGCTGCTGTGGCTTACTGCTGGAGGCCGGCCGCTCGGTCTCACAGCCCCAGGAGCCATGACCCCCATCAGCCAAGCTCCCAATCCCTCTCCTATGCCACACGTTCTGCTTGGGGAGGATCACTCGGAGTTTTCTGTGAAGTGCATTTTCCAGCTGTGAGTTCACCAGCAATGGGCTGTAGGTGTAATGGTTTGTGGCGTTCGTTTCACATGAGAGGTCCAAGCCACGGACTTGCGGGATCTTCAAATCCACTGAGGTCAGATGGCCTTGGTCCCTCTTGCCATCTTGTTTTGCTGGTGCCGATCCCCGTTGGAAGGCCACCTGATGGAAAGGAAGTTCCTTGCCGTCTATACACGTGTCGTTTCCCCTGAATTTGACGTGTCCCAGATTGAACTCGTAGTGTGGTTTGGCCCAGGGGGCCTCTCGGGCTAACACTAAGTGCTGACCTCGGGGCTGAGCTGTGGGGCCCAAGTTCGAAGGCGTTGCTGAGGTCTCGCTCCTGCTCTCTGGCTCCTCGTTTTTCTGTATCGAGCGTGTGACCGGGATCCGGAGGACGACGGCGTTCCCAAAGCCGTCAGTCTGACAGCTTCTCAATGGCTTTGGACGTGAACCTTCTGTGATGTGCCACACACAGTCCGTGGGCGGTTGGCCACTTCTCCCAGGACGCCTAGGATTGGATGGAAGGAAACTCAGGTGAGCAGAACTTGCACAGGGGAGGGAGGGAGGATATAATGGGTGGGAGAGAGAGGGAAGGCTCTCTTTTATTAGAAGATCTTGTTTGGGTAACATCACTTTGTGAACCTTTGTGGAGTCCTGTAGGATAGGGATTTAAGCACTCGCCTCGCAAGCGAGAGAATCTGGGTTTGATTCCTGGGCAGGGCGAAACTTTGAGCAAGTTTCCTTACTCCACACACCTCTGTTTATCTAGCAGTAAGTAGGAACCCGGTTGTTAGTCAACTGGCGGATCACTCTTCCGTGGGTAATAATCCCTTCAAAAAAAAAAAATTTGTTCACTCAATCCACGACTGTTTTGGGGAAATTGCTGTGCACAATTGGCTGCTGCGTTTCGCCCACAAATTATAGTCATTTCACTTTATAGTATATCCTGTGAAGTGCTTTGAGACGTCTCGAAGACGTGATAAGGCGCTATATCAAATGCAAGAATTATCATTATCTATAGAATTTACTGAGCTCGTCTAATGACTCAATTTTAGTGAGCCACCAGTCTGAAAAAAATGAGGCTTTGAACCCTTAACTCCCCCATCCCCAAAATAAAGCTCCTTAAATAAATGAAACAGCAGTGAGGGCAGTCATATTCCATACAGGTGCACAGTTGTGATTTTCTTGCAGGAAATGTCTTGCGTGTACAGTCTGCAAACAATAACTTTAATTACATGGTCCAACTGAACACTGCTCTGTCTCCTGGCTGACCTAAGTACAGATTTACTGTGACAATAAGATTACCATGAGACTAGTAATAAGAGGCAGCCGAATGACACTTGATTAAAGCAGTTAATGCCCCCGCGTTAACAGTCCACTTCCATCTCCCGGGCAGAGACAAGGCACAGTTTGGATGGGGCGTGTGGAAATGGGATTTTAGTAAAAAAATCTCATAAATATTTAAACAGGGGAAAAAATAAGAAAAACACCCCATAATTTGGGGGAGTTTGGCTTTAAACGTGGTACTGATCCAGTACATGCAAATGAAATCTACATCTCACAATGCTGATCGCTAAAGTAATGACATTAATGGACCAGCTCACACACCTGTCCTGGCTTCACACAGCATGCTTTTACCCTTATATTACTTTTGGACCCAAACTACAAGCTCAAAGAAGTGATCCTTCTCTAGAGAGCACCAATGGTGAATAAATATTACACCCCTTAGCTGCAAGACAGATACCCGTGTGTCCCCTCATCTACATCAAAAGTCAGACACAAAAATGAAATCAGCCTGTAACGCTGTCAGCAAAAAATTTTCATGACAAGTGAGTGATATGATCAGGTACGCGATCTCACCCAATGGTGAGACATACAAAATGTGTTAGGAAGTCTATTACTGTTATTATTACACAACTGGAACTGTGTCAAAGAGGATCAATTCAGGGATTAATTGAGGATTTTCCGGTTCCAGAGAGTGTCTGACAGAAGTTAGTAAAGCTCCCTGTACTTTGTACAGATAACAGCTCAAACATCGGCAGCACCACAGTTTATTCCCACTTCTCATGCCAGTCAGCCCTGTGCCTCCTGTGTATGAGACGGTCAGGGTGATGCCGATCTGGATGAAACTGATTGCCTTTGTGATACTGAGATACACATACAGACATCACAGCCAGTACAGAGGAGGGAGTTTCTTATTAAGTCTGAGCTGGACTCAAATCCAGGTTCCAGAAGGAAAATAGTGTGGTCACACACTGCACTACCTACTTACGTCTTTCCAAATGTCTTCGTGGTTTGTGTTAGCTCAGAACTCAGTTTCGCCTCTTGCTACAGTACCATTGTTCTGCCGCAAGAGGCAGTGCTACCAATCTCACTTTTTTTTAAAACCATAGAATTTACACACAGAAAACTGTCAATCGACCCATCGTGTTAAAATACAATAGTTTAACCCTTCAGCAGATCACAAAACCTTGCATTTCACAGCATTATTATTACATCAAAAAGTTTCTAAGCACTTTACAAGCAATTAACGTTAAGTGTTTTTTGTGTCAGCACACGTGGCAGGCACACAAGGTTCTTCAAACAGCCATGAAGTGAACAACCAACTTATCTATAATAATAATAATCCTTGCATTTGATATAGCGCTTTATCACGTCTTCGAGACGTCTCAAAGCGCTTCACAGATTTTACTGTAAAGTGTATTGACTGTATACTTTGTGGGCAAAACACAGCAGCCAATTGTGCACAGCAGCGTCCCACAAACAGTCGTGGATTGAGTCACCAAATGATTTTTATTCGTTTTAAGTAATTATTACCCCGGAAAAGCGATCCGCCAATCGCCAAGCAACCAGGTTCTTACTTACTCCTAGGTAAACGGAGGTGTGTGGAGTAAGAAAAAGTGCCAAACGTTTCGCCCTGCCGGGAATCAAACCAAGGTCTTCTCGCTTGCAAGGTGAGTGGTCTAATCACTGAGCTACAGGACTCCACAGGAGAGGATTATTGTCCAAGAGAGCCCAAAAAAACTCTTTGCCAATGTTTGGAATCTTTTAAAGGATTTCCAAAGTTCTTAAAAAGAACCAACTTCTAAACAAATGAGAATTTTTCAACGTTCTTCACGATCATAAATGCATGTGAATCTACACTGAGACCTTCTGTTGGCTCTGGTGGTTTTCTTTGTATAACTGCTCACAGTTCACTTAGGATCCAGAGACACAGGTAATGTTATCAGCCTAAAAATGTTCCAAAGTATAATTCCTGTCAGAGTTTAAATGGTGCAAAAGTTGCAATTGTGCTCTTTACCATTTATCATTCTAAAGAAAAACATTGTCCTCAGTTTCACTATGTGCTTCATTTACATGGGCTCTTCTATCAACCTCCTCAGTAGGGCAGAGAGAAAGGCACGCACACCATGCTGATAACACTATCGAGCTTGATTTGGACCACAAAGACACCTTTCAGCACTCAGAAGATCACAGATTGGTTTAGATGAATACCTTCTGATGTCATCCCTCCAGAAAACCCACCCTACCATCTTCCCAACACAGCATCAACAACAATAAGATTACATTTGTATAGCGCCTTTCACGTCAGGAGGACGTCCCAAGCTGGGGTCGGGGGGGGGGGGGAAGAGAAGGGAGGGGAGGGGAAGGGAGGTGGCCAATGGCATAGTCGAAGAGGAGGGTCTTGAGGCGGGACTTGAAAGAGGCTAAGGAGGGGGCGAAGTGGAATGATTGGGGGATGGAATTCCAGTGGTTGGGGGCAGAGTGGCTGAAGGCTCTCCCGCCAATGGTGGGGCGGGTGGGTCGGGGGATGTGGAGCAGCCAGAGCCGGCTGAGCGGAGGGAACGGGCGGGTTGGTAGGGGGTTAGGAGGTCGCAGAGGTAGGGTGGGGGAGGCCATGAAGGGCTTTGTAGGTGAGGATCTTGAACTGGATCCTCTGAAGGATAGGGAGCCAATGGAGTTGGGCGAGAATGGGGGAGATGGGGTCACGGAGTTTGGTGCGGGAGAGGACACGGGCTGCAGAGTTCTGGATTATCTGCAGCCTGTGGAGGGAGGAGTTGGGAAGGCCGACAAGCAGTCCAAGGTCCTGGCCTCAACCACCTTTAATAATAATAATCCTTGCATTTGATATAGCACCTTATCATGTCATCAAGACATCTCAAAGTGCTTCACAGGATATATTGTAAAGTGAATTGTGCGTGAAACACGGCAACCGAATGCACACAGCAGTGTCCCACAAACAAAAAAAAATTCCTTCCAGGCAGCCAGTCTAATTACCCGCTGGGTAAAGAAAAGCTTCCTGGTGTCTGTCTTCTATACATGTTCCTCTCCTGGGCACTGCATCCTCACACAGTCAAATAGAAGACAAAACATTCACAAATAGGAGAGCTTCTGTTGAAATACAAAGACATGGTCAGGAGTTGCTAACTCTGGAGCGAATACTGTTAGTGCTGAGTACTTACCTATATATCATCCTCCTTGGCTTGGTCAAGCCTGAAACAGTCAGGTATACAGTGCTCCACAATCACCTTTTATTCTGTCCATTTCAGTCACTGTAGAGCACAGTGAAAGCACATCTTTTTTTTCCATTGAAGTCCATACTTTGCTTAAAGAAATCCATCTTTTTTTCTTTCGACATCATTTCATAAAATGGCAAGTGCTCCTTTTAGACTATAAGTACTCAATCGTCATGGAAAGTTGGGGGGGGGTTGGGGGAGGTCAGCGGCAAAGGGATTTTCAACAGCTAGAGTCTTCCTTATACAGCATCTTCTAACACAAAACCTACAGCTGTGCTAAAACATCAGCATCTAAGTTACATTAGTGCTTCATCAACCGCTGGGAGGGAGTTCCTCTCAGGAAGCAGATTGGAGTGGAGTTCCCGCAGATCAATATGATGTACATTTGGTTACCAGTCTCCCATGTGCGTGGCTGATCCCATTAAACCCCCCCCCAAAAAAAATGGTCACTCAATCCACGACTCTTTGTGGGACACTGCTGTGTGCAATTGGCTGCCATATTTTGCCCACAAAATACACAGTCAATCCACTTTACAGTATATTCTGTGAAGCGCTTTGACAATGCCTCGAAGACCTGATAAAGCGCTATATCAAATGCAAGGATTATTATTATTACTAAATGCTGCAAATTAGATTAACAAGTGTTGCTGATGTACTTTCACATTTGCGTGCAATGCAAGGAGCCCTATAACACCAGCACTTTACAAAAACCTACTTCTCTTTAGGGCAGTGCGTCATTCTCAAGGTACATGAAACTGAGATGGTCTCCTGGCCTGGTTTACTGTGGCTAGACTAAACCTTTCTGCACTGTCTGCTCTGCTGAAATCGCAGGCGATTTATGAGTTAGTTGACGTCAATGGCAGGTATAAAAACAAGACCCATATATAAACTCTCCAGAAATGAGACAAACTGCACAAGTAAATGTAATGGTCTAAAAACTAAATCTTTAACACTATTTTAAAGAGGGGAACATTATTTTGAAAAATGGATAGTGGATTTTCATCAGCCCAACAACGTTCATGTGTATAATGCCTTTCACCTAGAATTAATGCCGAACTGCTTCACAGTGACAGAATGGTGAGCACTGAGCAAAAAAAAGGTGGGGGGGAGAGAGGAGAAGCTTTAAGGATGTTGACCAAAGGCATGTATTAAGAAAATTTAAATGCAGGGGTAAAGGAAGAAAGGCGAAGAAATTTGGGAGAAAATTCCAGAGGGCAGGAGCTTAGTGGCTGTAAGCTTGGGTACCAATTGTGGGATGGTGGAAGGAGTGTGAAACGAGCAGTAGACTTGGAGTGGAAGGCCTAGGTAGGAGAATAGGCCCTGGAACAGATTGTTGAACCACAGCACAAAAATTTTGCAGCACAGGCGGCCATTTGGTCCATCATATCTACCCGCAGAGGTAGGTTAGGGCACAACATAGAGAGCCTTGCAAATTAATGTATATATAGTCAATCCATTGAGGTACTGGGAAGCCATGGAGCCTGGCGAGGATGGGAGTGATCGGTGTGTGACCCAGTCTGTTGAAGTTTGGGTGAGGGGGGGTGAGCCCTGGCAGAGCCTTTCCTCAGGGTAATGAAATCACGAACAAGCAAGTTGTAAAAATGCCAACTTTACAGCAGATGCTGAGAATTACAACCGGAAATTAGTACCTTTGCTTTCCAACAGTACAAATGGCTCTTTCAAAAGAATACTCAGACCCTAACCCAGATACACACCCCACAATGATCCCAAACAAAGGAATACACCAACCTTATCCCAAACCAACACAATGATCCCAAACAAACCAGCTTGTTTTGGGATAACCATAGGTTGTAAGTCACTCATCCTAATTGCAAATGAGCCATTTAGATAGGCACTTTTTTTTGTCAGCTGGGTGTCTCACACATGTGAAACCCATCCCCATGCTTAAGAGTATCCAAACCAATATGAGAATTCCATGCATCCCACCTGCACATGGAAATCCCAGAGATAGATTGTTGGAATGGAATGCGCTCTCTCTCACTGGAGGGAAGCATCCTGCTTACCTAATTCCGGAGAGTATCAGGAGCAGGTTAGCAAGAGCCAAGGCTTGAGGACCCTAGAGTATGTATTGGGGTTACTGATGGGAGTTTAACCAGCCAGAGAGGTACTGAGGCGTGACCTAACTTAGAGATGAACGCAATGCACTCAGTCCAATATCATCTGAAGCATTTTACCCACTATTAATTAACATGAAGCAAATTCCTCCTGTAAAATGTGAATTGTAAGTACAGTACTTGACAGGAGCTGCATTCATACACAAACGTCCCAGATCACTGGAATTCCTTTGTTTATTCAAAGCCTTGAATTAAGACTCTACAAGTCTCTGTGGTTGTTGCAATTGTAAAATTCTGCATGATAATTCTCAGCCCAAGTTACAGAAACAGACTGGATGGACAGAGGGACTTTGTGGAGTCAGATCTTCAGAGAGAAAAAGGCTTTCTTTCTCTCTCCTTCACTCAGACAGAACATTAAATGTGCTGAAGCCCCCCCCCCCCACCCACTCCCAAACTCAGAGCCTTTCACACCCGTTCCTGATTGCTAGCCACCTCCCATTGCACTGTGTGGATCTGAGGAGGATTTGGTATGAAGGCCCCATGGTTTTGAACCCCATCAACACAGTGAGATGCTAGGCAAGCCCAAGATAAGGGTCGGGGGAGGGGGAACAGTTCAAAGCATTCACTCCCCTGGTATCTCAGTTTCTAAAGTTCTGCCACCACCACAAGATCATAGATTCAACATAAAAATTACATTTGTAAAGTGCCTTTCATGTCAGGGGGATGTCCCAATGCGCTGAGAGACATTTGCAGCACAGAAGGTAGCGATTCATCGTGCTTCTACCAGTTACCTGTTTAGTCCCACTCCACTGTCCTTTCCCCCCTATCCTATTACACTATCCTTTCCTTGTGTAAACGTTTGTCTAATTCCCTTTTAAAAGTTTGTGGGACATTGCTGTGCGCAATTGGCTGCTGCGTTTTTCCCACAAAATACAGTCACTCCACTTTACAGTATATTCTGAGAAGCGCTTTGAGATGTCTTGAAGACGTGAGAAGATGCTATGTCAAATGCAAGAATTATTATTATGATGGAATTTGCTTCAACAACAACAACCATGAAACTCAGCTGTAACAGACCCACAACCCAGTTAGAAAATCATGGCCAAAGATTAGTGAAGACCTCCTGAATTAATGGGGAAATTAGAAAACAGGCGAGAGTGGTTGGAATGTGAAATTCTCAGCCACAAAGCATGGCTCAAAGCAGAAGCCAAAGTGCTTTAAAAGGGAATTAGTTGTTTGAAGAGGAGGAATATTAAAATGTATGATTGGGGAACAAGTTGGAGAGTGAGTTGCTTCTGTGGAGAACAAAACAGTGCAGATTTAAAGGCGCAAAGGCCTGGCTTGAGCTCCAGTGTTCCAGAATTCTTCTCTCTCCATTCCCCTGTGTGGGAATGTCTATGCATTTTACGGTACTGAACACATCACCACAAACCCAGATTGAGTCAGACTACATTGCTAGCACACAATAAGGCACAGCCCAATATTCCACAAAAAAGCTGTCACAGGGCACAGAAATCACAAACACAAACAACAACCCCCAGCCTCCCGCAATGGTTGGTGTCACATATTTCATTACTAGAAGTAGTAAACTTCATTACACCCCCCATTCCCCCCAACTTGGATTCCTTATTAAATGTGAGTTACGCTGAGATCCCTGGGACTACAACAGGCGGGAAGACAGCAAGTTCAACAACCACAAAAATAAATCACATTTACACAGCGCTTTTCATGTTGGGAGAACATCCCAAGGCGCTGGACAGTCATGGATTTGCACCCGGGTAGGGGATTGGGATCAGGAGGAGTGGAGGGCAGGGAGGGTAGGGTTAGGAGGGTGGCCGAAGAGGAGGGGCTTGTTCCTACCATTGTAATCTCTGGGCCTATGATTGTAATGAAGTTCAGGGCACACACTTGCCATAAACAAAGGCGAAATTTTTATTCATGTGCTAATTCTCACATCACCCAGCACCTGTCTCCCCACCCCCATCCTATTAGAAATCACTGCACATTAGCACCCTCCCCATTCCCCATGTACAGCAGAGTAAACGCTGCTCATGTTAAACAGAAACTCAGAGCACTCCTCATGCTTACCCTTTGCCTGTAGGAGCGGAAGAGGAGGTGTCTGGGGCCTCGCTTGTACCCATACTCGCAGCACACGGGCTCTTCCTTGTCGACAGATCAAGTACTCCATCTAGAAGAGAACAGAATATAAATAATAATAATCCTTGCATTTGATATAGCACCTTTTCACATCTTCGAGACGTCTCAAAGAGTTTAACAGGATATACTGTAAAGTGAACTAACGGCAGCAGTGGCCAGAGGTGAAATAATTTTAAAAGCAGCTCCACTTTCCCCTCTCCAGAGGCTGAAATGCCCCCAAACGGTAGAAGAACTTTGGCCTGTAGCTCAGTAACACAGGAAACAGCAGATTGCAATGGCTCATATGCTCATAGGTTGATATCAAACACATTTAAAATAGATTTATTTTACACTTTACAATGTGATAAGGTGTTAAATCAAATGTTGATTATTATTATTATTTCTATTATTTAAAATGTTGCTTCCCAAGAAAATCTTTTTTTAACCTCTTAAAAAAAATAAAAAAGGACTGAACACTCCACATCCACAAAGAACTGAACGAATACATTTCACCTGGAATACAGATCAGTTTGGAACTAATGCAATTGAAATTTTAAAAATAAAAATAACACAACTATCTACCCAAACAAGTCACGCTTCCAAGCCAGCCGGGAGGCCAGGGTGTGCGATTGTCTTACAATAGGTGAGCATTTGACTGCTGGGGTTTAAGTGAAAAGGCTGGTTAATACTGCAAACACAGAGGGCGCTGGGAGAGGTGCCACACAATAGCCCTGTTTACACAAGCATTAATCTGACAGCCATTAATCTGCCAGGTGACAGAGTGGATTAGTTAGCACAGAATAGATGTCTCTGTAACACACAGGGTCACCTAATGAAGATGGAATGGTTACACTGGACTGGAGTGAGTGGTGTAGGGAGGGTCCTAGTTGTGCTCACAGACCTTACTGAGGCTCACATATGCTCTACCCAACACTACCGATTATGTTAGTAATCTCTGGCTAACATAATAATAATAATCCTTGCATTTGATATAACGTTTTATTACATCAATGAGATGCCTCAAAGACATTTGGCTGCTGCAATTTTGCCCACAAAATACACAGTCATTCATTCCACTTTACAATATATCCTGTGAAGCTTTGAGACGTCTCAACAACGTGATAAGTTGCTATATCAAATGCGAGGATTATTATATTATTGCTAACACAAATTCAAGCACACACACACACATACACACATTGTAGGAATGTTATTATTAGTACGTTTACCTTGATTGTCTAATTCGGAGTTAGACTTTTTGACAGTGAGGTCCAGAGGGCTGTCCTGGTCTGCCATCAGAAGCTTGCTTAACACAGGGTTTTGGGCACTGGCACCGAGCACAGGAGCTTTAGCAGCACTTTGGTCCTTTGGGCTGGTGAGAACAATGGGGTCCTGAGAAGTGCTAGTCTTTGAGGTATATTCAGCAACAAACTGCCTGATCATTTGGTGCATAATCTTACAGGCCACTAAAGGGATACTGCAGTCCGCAACCCGAGGGCTGTCTGCAGAGATGAGAAGAAAAAGTTTAGTTTTATTCAAAATATGTCACTCTATTTCTCATACTTCGTCTCTTTCTCACTCTGTCTCTTTCACACACATAAACATACAAGAAGAAAAAACACTTAAATCCTCCCTTCAAGCTCTTCTCAAGATCATTCCCAAAACACAAAGGGAGAGAACATAAGAACATAAGAATTTGCGGGTGAAAGAAGACCAAGGTCCATGCAGTTTGCCTTCCACCATCCTGGCAGTTGCTTGACATGTCGTGTCCCAAACTGTATACTATATGCCCAGATATTATTTTCTAGCAGAAATCTATCTCATTTGTTCTTGAAACAAACACTTTCTGCTTCCTCTGTCTCCTTAGGGAGCCTGTTTTACAGAGAAGGTTTTACATTTTTAAATCTTCATACCTGGCAATACTGTAGTATTAAGTTTGGGAAATACTTTCAAACTATGGGAACAATACAGCTTTAGTTGCACACTATTTAGAGCAAGGGGAGGCCGAGGGAAAGCAGCAAAGCTTCCTGATAACTCACCTTTCCTCTGAAAGACAGCATTGAGCCACACTTTGGCCTGCTTTTCTAGATGGCTAATTTTGGCCCGTTGCTGCTGCGACAATGGCAGTTCACCACCTTTGGGTTTGGGTTGATCAAGAAGGGCCAAGTGTTCCTGTGTACACAAAACACCAGATACTCAGCTCAGCTCGGCTCTGCTCGGCACGGCAGCTGTGTCACAGCATGAGGTTTAGGATCAGGTACCATGCGATGAACTCTACCTGTGTAGGGCATAATAATATAATAATCCTTGCATTTGATATAGCGCCTCATCACATCTTCCAGACATTTCAAAGCGCTTCAAAGAATATACCGTGAAGTGAAACGTGGCAGCCAATTTTGCACAGCAGTGTCCCACAAACTGTTGTGGATTAAGTGGCCAAATTACTTTTAATTATTTTAAAGGAATTATCACCCCCGGAAAGCAATCCGCCATTCGACTAACAATCAGGTTACTACTTACTGCTAGGTAAACAGAGGCGTGTGGAGTAAGCAAACTTGCCCAATGTTTTGCCCTGCCCAGGATTCAAACCCAGGTCCCCTCACTTGTGAGGAGAGTGCTCTAACCACTAAGCTATAGGACTCCACAGCCAGTATTCCCTCTCTCACCAGGTCCATTACTCCATCCCTCTAACTCCACCAGACTGACTTCAAGACCCTCATTCTGACCTTCAAGTCCCCTCACAATGTTACCCCCACCTCTGCTACATAGCCTCCACTCCTGATTCTACTGTCCATTCGGTACTCACTCTGTATCAGTAGCAGTGGCCATACTAATGATTGTGCTCCAGCTCTCTCCCCAAATCACTTTGCTTTGCGCCTCTACCCATCTTCAAAACATCCCTTTCTCTTTGATGCTGCTTTAGCCAATACCCTCCAAATGCCTTTGCCTTCCCATCCTGCTCAGTGGTGCTAAGTGAAGGGAACAATGTCAATGCAGGCTGTTGTGATGTACAAGCAGTACCTTTATGAGGAGCTGCTAGAAGCAAACTCCCCCGCCTTTGGGTCGTTCCCAGCCTCTGCTGCCATTATTGGGGTCACAGAGATTGTCACATCAGTCTGACCTCAGAGGACTGATGCAGTGACTACTTATATTGAGAATGGCACACAGATTGACATTGTACTGGTATCACCATATCTAGTCACTCCTACTGGTAGGGAATGGTTGCAGTAAAGATTTCTGTTAATTCCAAAGTTTTACTTAAGAGCTAATTGGATTAAAACTATGAGTGAGTTAGTCAATCATATTTTATCCTCCCAAATAATGGCATAACATCCCAAGCCCCCATTGGTGTCTGACTTCCCTTTGGCTCCACAACCAGTTACTCAGAATTACGAGTCAACATGAGTCGTACCATCATACCTCATGCTTTGAAGAGTCTTTCTTGTTCTGTCATCGCTCCCTAACTAACAATGTTAAACCACAGTAAGCAGGCTGGGAGCCACAACCACCTGATATCTCATTCCGATCACAATAGTAAAAGAATGGAAAATCTGCACGGATTCTGAATGTAATAATAATAATCCTTGCATTTAATATAGCACCTTATCACGCCATTGAGACATCTCAAAGCACTTCACAGGATACATTGTAAAGTGAATGTAAAATGTTTGCTCACAAATTCCAAGTGTCACCTTATAAATACATTATCGTGATACTTCACAGCAATTCCCTGTGAAGCATGTTTTAGAACGGTACTGAATGCAGGAATTATTCTAAGCTGTTACACCACAAACTGCACATTTTTACAGCACTGTAATATGTGTTTCACTTTGCCCTTCCGTTTACTCAGTGTGAATCACCCGCAGTGATGGGTGCAGGAACCTTGGCAGTGCTATGGCCACAAGGCCACCCATTATTCCACCCGAGCTGCAATCCAGTCGTCATGGTAGCACTAGAGTTAAAAGCTTCTGCGATAGAGGTGGCTTTATAATCTCAATATCATTTATACCGAGGGAGGAACACAACAAGGGATAGAATATAACAATAATTGCATTTGTTATAATGCCTTATCACATCTTTGAGACGTCTCAAAGCGCTTCGAGAATAGGGAAATAAATTATAAATGGAGTTGGTTTTCTGCTTACTGCATACAATGCTAGCATAAAGTGCACCAAAGCCTTCCTGTCCACATCCTACACCTTACCATGCATCTGCTCAACAACAACAAATTACATTTGTATAGCACCTTGGGAGGACATTCCAAGGCGCTGGACAGTCAGGGTTTTGGACCCGAGCAGGTGGTTGGGATCAGGAGGGGTGGAGGGCAGGGAGGGTAGGGCTAGGAGGGTGACCGAAGGCACAGTCAGAGAGGAAGGTCTTGAGATGGGCCTTGAAGGAGACAAGGAAGGGAGCAAGGCAAATGACCTGTGGGATGGAGTTCCAAAGGGTGGGGGCAGAGAGGCTGAAGGCAATAATCAACAAGCCAGTAACACTGTCTGGTAAACAAGACTGAAATAACTTTGGCTGAACATGCACAGAACGGGGTAGACAACCCGATAGTGATATATATAGTTCTCTGTTCTCTGCAGTTCGAGCCTTAAAAGCCAACCGCAGTAAATCATGTCACCTTTAATTATAGGATTCAAATATTACACTGGCTTTGATTAGCTTTCTGTTTGCAAACATTTCAAACCAAGATGATTAGTTATGTTCTTACAGACAGTTTTTAACAATCAGCTTGTCTAACACGCATGAGCAAGCACACACACCCTCTACACCCTCCCACCCTACAACAGACAATCCCCCCCGCCACACACACACCTCCCCCCACCTCACATACCTCTCCCCCTCTCCCACACACCTCCCCCCACACACACACACCTCCCCCACCCACACACCTCCCCTCGCCCACACCCCACCCCACCCACACATCTCCCACCCCCCACAGACATACATCCTCCCCACACACACATCCTTCCCGTACACACCCCCCACTCACGCACACACCCCCCACTCACACAAGCCCCCCCCCACCAGACACCCCACCCCACAACAGACCCTCCCACCACCACACCGCCCCCCACCACACACACACACACCCGGCTCCTGAGCTACATTGTGTGAAGTATCATAATCAAAGCATGAATCCATTTGAAAAGCAGACTTTCCTGCTGTGGGTTTCCGAGCTCTGGCTCTTGCACAGGCTATTAATACAGACACGCTCAGATTTTCCGTGAGTACTGTGCATCAACAACCACTTGTAGCACAGCTTGGTTCCACCGGTACCACTCTCACTCTGGGTGGGGAAGTTCTGGGTTCACGAAGCAGGTTGACAATTCAGGGCAGTACGGGGGGAGTGCTGCATTGTCAGTCTTTGGGTGAAGACATTAAACTGAGGACAGGTGGACTCAATTCCTATGACGTTAATCAAAAACAGGAGATTTCTCCTTGCATCATATCTAAGAGTCCTTTATATAAGCGCGTTTACCTACAAAAACAGTCACTACACTTGACAAGACAGCCCTCTGAGACACCGTCCGGCGCGAAGGCCACTAAAGAAATGCAAGTTGTTGTTGTTGACATTGATCTCTGTGAAGCGCTGTGAGACATTTCAATGTTATAGGCCCCACATAAAGGCAAGTTCTTCTATTAGAGTTTTTCCAAGTAGGATAAATGTCTCAGAACAAATCACAATTAGTTGCTTCTGAACAGATGAAGTGCAGAGCACTAACACACAGCACATGGGATGGGATCGAACACCAGATGGGCAACAGCAATGTTGTTGCCTTTCTCAGTTTCAGTACATACAAGGGCCTGGAATAGAATAGCAGATACCCTCAGATCAAAAATTAGTTAGGAATGTGTTTACGGACTGCACTTCCAACTACAGACCCCGACACACTATTGCGGCAACTTGTTGTACCAGTGGGTCGGCTAAATGCTGAAACGTTTAATATCTCAAACTGCTTCTAACCTTCACTCTTTCTCTTGAGCAACACAAGAGGCAGTTTTCATCAAAAGATCAATCAGAAACACCTGTCGGTAATTTAAGAATAATTTTAGCGCAGCTAAAGTTTGGAGTTTGATTCTCCTTTTCTCCCCTCTCCCTCCAGCCCCCTATCCATTGTTTGGGTGATCTACAGGGTCACCCCCCCCGCCCACCCCTGCAAATCCCTCCACGTTTCAGATGACAGCAGGTATACTGGGCAATACTCAACAACAACCTGCACTTACACAGCACCCTCACGCAGGGCAGAGTCTCAGAGTGCTTGACGGTGGCGGAGCATGACGCCAAGCCGGGGGAGGTGACCGTAGGCACGGTCGAAGAGGAAGGTCTTGAGGCTCAACCTGAAGATGGGGAAGGAAGGGGCAAAGCGGAATGATAGCGGAAGAGTGTTCCAGAGTTTTCGGGCGTAGTGGCTAAACTTGCGGCCACCGATGGTGGAACGGAGGGCACAAGGGACATGTAGGAGGCCAGAGCCAGTCGGCAGAGGCAGCGGGTAGAGGGTTAGGGAGTAAGCAGGTCAGAGAGGTAGGAAAGTGCCAGTGCATGAAGTTACTCCATCCATGTTACGAAGATGTGGCACTGAACATAGCGATGGATCATTATCTGCCGTGAAAATGATGGCACTCACTCACATTAGTCCACTGGACATTTAAATATAATTAAAGACTTGTAACTGAATACAATATAGTACTTCTAAATACAAATATCACCATTCTTCCACGTGTTTCAGTTGTTCGGTGCACTGTAGAAAACAAACATGGGGGTAACAGGACTTTGTGATCACCCTGTATTGTCTGTGACACATTCAGAGTGTTCCAGACACACACCCACCTGTGAAAGCACAGATAAGATTTACAAAAGAGCTGCAAACACACCACAGAGACGGGCCCCAAGGCAGAGACAACTTCTCCTTAAACAGTTTACCTATAAAAACGCCAGCTAAACTGGAGAAAATTCCTCCAACTGGGGGATTTATGTTTGGGCCCCACATCACCCGCTGCTAGTCCAAAATTACTGTGCCCTCTGTCCTTGAAGAGCAAAACTTAATAGAACAATCGGAAGTCCACAAAATTCACCCATAAAATACACGCCAATCCACTTTACAATATACTTTACAATATATTCTGTGAAGTGCTTTGAGATGTCTCATTGAAGCGATAAGTTGCTATATCAAATGCAAGGACTATTAATATTAGACAAGTCTTTATTGGCCTTCGAACAACGTGGACAAAACACAAATTGACCACTATAAATAAATTCTGGACAACTAGATGGCAAACCCTACTGGAATATAAAAATGCAGACAGAGTATGCAAAATGTGCATGCCAATCCAATATACAGTGTAGGTAGGTGAACCATACTCTCTCCCGTCCTCCACACCAACAAATTCAAGGTGAAATATTTTCCACCTTAACCACATTTATATAACCATCTACGTGTATTTCTGCTCACTGAAAAAGCACCTGTGAAAACGTGCATACATTACAAACATGCCCTGGGCCTCACAGGGCATTTAGCAGTCCTAGAACCTTTCATTCAACAACAACAACAACAACAACAAGATTCCATTTATAAAGCGCCTTTCACGTCAGGAGGACGTCCCAAGGCGCTGCACAGTTGGGTCATGACCCGAGCAGGGAGAAATGGTCAGGGTGAGGGGAGGGAAGGGAGGGAGCGAGGAGGGGGGAAATGGTCAGGGTGAGGGGAGGGAAGGGAGGGAAATCCCTTCATGCCCTCGCACCTACCTACCTATCCGATCTGCTTACCCCCCACTCCACCATCCCCTATCTCCACTCAGAGTGCCTTTAGTGCCCCAAACTCTGGAACTCTCTCCCTCAATCCTTCTACCTTGTCCTCACCCTCCCCACTTTCTAATCCCGCCTAAAGACCTTCCTTTTTGATCGAGTTTACGGTCACCTCCCCCCTCCCTGTCTCAGGTTCAGACTCCAGCACTCCGGGATGCTACCCCACACGAACGGCGCTGTGTAACTGCAAGTTGTTATTGTTGTAGCAACCCTAGAAATAAAAGAAATACCGTACCTTCAAACTGCGTGATATCTTTCAGGAGTCCAGGCCCAAAGAGCCTTTCCAAAATGCTTTCAAAGCCTTGTGCAAAAAGAAAGAAAATTTACGACAAACTGAACATAAACGAGTGTTTCCAGGCAACAGTTTAAAACATCAGCCATTACGGATATAATTACACCACCAAGCACAGAACTGGAATTAACAAGGCATTCTGTAGGTGTGCAGCACATTAAATGTACAGCAAAACAGGAGCTGTTTTCCACTGCAACAGAGAATGTTAGGAGGGGAATCCTGCAGTTTTGCAGACTTCTTAAAGGAGAGAAAAAATGGTGCAAGATTATTCTTGACGGCTGGGAAATTGTCAACACGGGGTGCAGGCTCAGGATTGGTACTGAAAGGATTCAGAAGCTTTTCATCCTGAGGATTATTTCTAATAATAATCCTTGCATTTGGTACAGCACCTTACCACGTCAGAAGGACGTCTCAAAGCGCTTAACAGGAATTACTATGAAATGGAGTGGTTGTGTATTTTGTGGGTGAAACATGGCAGCACAGTCATTGAGCAAAATGTAGAATGTTTTTGCCACAAGTGGCTGTTGAAGCTCAAACCAGAACAACATTTGAAAGGGAAGTGGAGAAAAAGGAGGAATATTAAAGCGTATATTAAGGCGACCAGTGGGAATTTCCACCTTCTGTGTTGTAGTATGATTCTATGCATGTTCAGAATCTGCAAACTCTACCCAAACTGGAGTTTGAACTGGGATCCTGCTCTATGCAGCTGTTTCACCTTGCCCAGTGGCTTAACCAACTGAGCAATTACAAGAGATTCTTACACTGTAAGGAACGAGGCGTTTATCACATAGCCATAGGAAACAGGAGATTGGTTTCAACTGAGTTCACCATCATTTGCAATGCTCATGGCAAATTCCACAGCCTGGATTCAACCCTGCTCCCGAATAAAGGCATAAAGGAAAAGAGGCATTATAGAGGGGAAGAAGAGAATGAGGGGGAAATAGGGCACCCGCAATAACCAAAACTCAAATAAACCACTGATTAATGTGTAGGATTGTTGGCTGGGGCAACAAAAGAAATTTCCTTCTCTTTCCTATTATGTCTCGAGATCTTAAATTTCTTTCCAAACGGTCATTGGCCTTATCCATCTCAAAGCGCTTACCTCTGGCAATGCAGCGTCCCCCCACTTCTGTATTGTAGTTTTCTATGCATTAACAATACTGTCTCTTCATTTCACACTTCTAAACCTTAACTTAGTTTCTTTTTGTAGAGTCCTGTAGGGTAGTGGTTAGCGCGTCCAACTTGCAACCAAGAGGACCCGGGTTTGATTCTGAGGAAAGGCAAAACGTTAGGCAAGTTTCCTTATTCTGCAAGCCTCTGTTTACCTAGCAGTAAGTAGGAATCCGGCTGTTAGTCGATTGGCGAATCACTTTCTGGAGGTAATAAGCCCATCAAAAAATAATAATAATTTGGTCACTCAATCCATGACTGTTTGTGCGACACTGCTGTGCACTCGAGATCTTACTATTAAATGCTACCACATTTCGCCCCAAAAAACAGTCAATTCAGTTTACAGCATATTCTGTGAAGTGCTTTGAGATGTCTCGAAGATGTGATAAACCGCTCTATCAAATGCAAGGATAATTATTATTTCTGTCTTTATTCCTCCTCGATTTTTAAACTGATGATTTTCATTAAATCAGTTTAATTTTGCTCCTTATTGTTGATCAGCAACAAATTGAACTGATTTGGTAACCAACCTGTTTACGTCAGCAGAATACTAAATCAAAACAAGCTGGGCTGGTCATGTAATAATAATAATAATTATTATATTTGATTATAGTGCCTTATCACGTCTTTGAGACGTCTCAAAACACTTCACAGAATATACTGTTAAGTGAATTGACTGTATAGTTTGTGGGTGAAATGCGACAGCCAATTGCACACAATTGTGGATTGGGTGACCAATTTCTTTTTGAAGGGATTATTAGCCCTGGAAAAGCGATCCACCAATTGACTAACAACTGGGTTCCTACTTATTGCTATAAAACAGGCGTGTGGAGTAAGGAAACTTGCCCAACGTTTCGCCCTGCCCAAGAATTGAACCCAGGTCTCTCGCTTGTGAGGTGAGCGCTCTAGCTACTGAGCTACAGGATGCCACAGTATTTTTTTTGTCTTCATGAAAGCCTTACCTTTTCAGCTTTAATTACCATTAAAAAACACCTATTTAATTTATGCCTGGAAAATGACAGGCAGACAAGACAATCGCAGGCATTCCACACCATAATGACCATTATTCACAACTTCCAACATCTGGGTGAATTGACCCAGTCTTCAGTAATCACTGTCTTTCCTGGTAATTTATAGGGTTGTTTCACTGGAGGAAATTACACTTACTGAATTGCCCCTATTTCCTCATTATCATGAGAGATAGGTATAAAAATTTCACAATGTCTTTCCGTCTCCCCGCTCCCTTACCCTGTTGAACAGCTAGAGCAGAAATGTTGTGCTACCTATCTGAGATTTTTATTGATTAGCTGGGAGTCTGACACATGTGGAAACACATCACCATGTTTAAGAGTTCCACAAAGTGTTGGCTCGATTCTGACATTCCGTTGCCAAATATATCACCTTGGAGTCAGTTCAGTTCCAAGGAGACACCACTTACTTTCCCTCCCCCCCCAGGAGGATAGTCATAAGTTGGTCATTTGGCATCCGACACGTGTGTGTTTGAGCCCTCAGTTGGTGGATGGCAGGTACCAGGAACACTGCACTACCTATCCAGGCCATGCCAATCCAGTAACTCTGAGAATGAGGAATACAGCACTCAGCTCAGCTCCATGCACTGTCCATGGGGCGTAAGGGACAACAAGATCCAAAACATCTCAACTCTAGGCAGCCTATAAACATCAGGCCTGAAGAAAATGCTTGGTAGAAGCTGAGTAATTATAATTAAATTTTTTTAAGATAATTTCCAAATTATCTTAGTCTAGGAGGTTACAAATTATAAATTAAATCTCGGAAATTATAATGATCAGTAATAGTAAACACCGGATGTAGCATTTAGGCAATATAATGGAAATGATAGCCTTTACATTAAGGCAGCTACATTCTAATATCTCCCAAAATATCATTCACACTACTTACTTTTGCTGTAACGCACAATTTACCATAATACAAGAATATTTTGTTTTACTACAGAAAAACTAAACCATGCACAGCAAACTGGGAAGAACATTCTAGAGTAAAACCTGGATCTCAAAGATCAGTAATTCTGGACATGAACAAGACTCAAATAATACTGCAAATTATTAACTAATGTGCTGTGCGCACACTGGAAATAAAACCACACTAAACTCCTGTGTAGAAGTTCACATTACTTGTTTGTTATTGCTGTAACTAATGAATTAATTGGATGGAAATGACTGGAAATCACATCCTTCTAACAAAAACAAGATGAGAACAGGCAGGTGGCAAACAGCCTGCGTCACCACTTTAATTAGCAACTTGATGATGTAACACTTAAAGGTTTTCCACATGTGTACTAATTCTTTAAAATATGGGACGCAATTAAAAAGTAACGTAGAAAAGCAGACAAATATTGATTTTCTACACAATACACAAGAGATATTTGCATCGAAAATATGCTGCTCCTCACATCCAATTCACCAGTGTTAGTGTGGTTGGTTGGGGGGTGGGAGGGGAAGATAGGAAGACTTGCTGGTTTACAGGTCCCTCCTGACACTGCTAATCTGGAGCAAATCAGCGAGAAACAGCACTGAGAGCATTCCTAGAAATGTGCAGCTAGATAATAATTTGATATAGTGCCTTATCACGTATTTGAAATGTCTCAAAGTGCTTCACAGAATATACTGTAAAGTGAATTGACTGTATATTTTGTGTGCGAAATGCTACAAAATAGTCACTTCACTTTACAATATATTCTGTGAAGCGCTTTGAGACGTCTCAATGACATGATAAAATGCCATAAGAATTGCAAGGATTATTATTTACATAATTATGATTTTCTGACATGCACCCACAAATAAAACTACATTAAAACAAAACCAGTTTTATCTACTGAAAATTGTTTGCTTTTAGAAGAAAAACAATTTCAGCACACAATATGGTCATAACTTTTACACAAAAGATATAAATACTATATAAATAGCAATATTGCACAATAAATTGCAATCTGACTTGATCGAATACCTTCCCCCTGAGAAATAATTGCCCTTTCTCAATACACAATACTGTATTAGGAAATGTAGCTAGCTGCTTGTGTCAGAGCCTCAGTAAAGTCTCTATTCAATCATTTTCTCCTCCTCGCGTGGGACATAACGTGCAGTTTGAAAAGAATTTGGCCAATGCAGGATTTCTCCATACAAAATGAACTGCAACAACAACAAAATTACATTTGTATAGCGCCTTTCACGTCAGAGGAGGACATCCCAAGGCGCTGGACAGATAGAGTTTCGGACCCGAGCTGTGAGTCGGGTTCGGTGAAGGTGGACGGCAGGGCAGGGGGCGGGGGGGGGGGGGGGGGTAGGGAGAAACTAAACCGTAATCTCCTAGACTAAGATAATGTGGAGTTTGCTTTACAGTATATCCCGTGAAGCGCTGTGAGATGTCTTATCAACACGATAAGGATCTGTATTAAATTATTGTTTATAATTAATATATCAAATTATTAGATTATGCCCAGACTATCATTTTGTAAACCTACCACCACAAGACAAATGGGGAAGGCTTTGCCCCCTCCTCCCCCCCCCCCCACCCCCGTCCATAAATTATTTGACAGCTATCACAGAAAGCACTTCCAGATGCTTTTCTTATTTAAATCAAAAGCCATCGATCACAGTGTGGTACAATACCATCACATCACTCCTTGCTCCACCCACGCCGGCTTCCCTCCTGGAACCACTGCAGTAAGCTATTTTTTTTTATTGGCAAAAATAAATGAATACATATATATTAAAAAAAAGACTGGTGTTTCAATTCAAAACACAACGACAGCACTCACTCTACAGAGCTAAATGCCTGTGTGTGTGTGTGGGGGGGGGGGAGAGAGGAGAGACAGGAAGTGCTGGCGACGAGGGGGGGGAAGAGACTACAACTCCCAGCAGCCTCCGCGCCACGCACACGTGCCCCGACGCTCTCTCCCCTCCCCCGGCGTCGCCCGAGCGAGACTCGTGATTGGCCCAAGAGGGCTCTTCCAGCAAACCTCCCGCCCTTATCTCCGCACGCGATCCGCTCTGGCCATTGGCTCCCCTCCCTTCCCGCCCACCCACCCGGATCCCAGGCCGGTGATTGGCCGGAGCCCGGCTCTTCCGCCGGACTCCCTCCCTCACCGCCTCCCTCCGGAGGGAGCGCGCGAGCGCCAATAACGGTTTTTTTTTAATCAAACTTTTTAAAAAGAGAAACGGAATTAACGGCGTCTGAGATTTTTAAGTACACCCCTGAGGGGAGGGGGGAGGGGGGGGGGTGTGGGCTCTTTTTTTTTCCGGTTGTTTTTCCTGTTGTTTTTTTTGGGTTTCTAACATTTTTAAAAAAAATATTTGACATTCATTTCATGTTAAAAAAAAAGAAAAAAAAACCTACAACAGCGTTATCCGCTTCCCCTCCTCTCTCTCTCTCTCTCTCTCTCTGCGGCATAACCTTTTTTTTTCTCATCACGTTAACTCATCGATTCTAATCACTCGACCGTGTAATCCTGTGAAGCGCTTCGAGACGTCTCGAAGACGGTGATGAGGCGCTGTATCAAATGTGATTTTGTATTGTGAGGCGCATATATTATATATATATATATATATTATATATATATATTATATATCATACATATTTATGTATCACCACAGTTTCGTAAAGTCTTTGATCCCCTTAAATGGGCCACTCACTCACTCACTCACTCACTCATATATGATACCCATATAGGAGGCCAACGCAGAAGAAATAATAATCCTGGGGCTACAGACCCTATTACATATAATTCCTGGCAAACCGCAGTCAGTCTGTCAGTGTGTGTGTGTGTGGGGGGGGGGGGGGGTGAGGGTGTTGTCAGTCAGTCCACCAGTCTTGTTTGTTGTGGGTCTGAGGGTCGGGCCGACGGTATCGATGATAATCATAATAATATTGGGCTACAAATCTATTATAATATGATTCCTGGCAAACCGCCGTCAGTCAGTCAGTCAGTCAGTGTTTGTTATGGGTCTCAGAGTCGCGCTCACTCTGGCTGCTGCTGCGGCATAATAATAATAATAATAATAATAATAATAATAAACACCATCATAATAATAATATTGGGCTACTTTTGGGCTACAACACCTATTATAATTCCTGGCAAACCGCAGTCAGTGGGAGGGAGGGAGTTGTCAGTCAGTCAGTCAGTATGTGCCGTGAGTCCCGGGGTCCCGCTGAGGCGGGTATTTTTATTTAAACATAAACCTTACCTACACAGTGAACGGGTTGAAGCCTCCACGAGCCCAGCTCCTGCCCAAAGCCGCGCCCGTCGAGCGAGCATTGCTGGCTGTCACACCGCCTCGCCATCTTCTGGGGGGGAAATTGGGAGGGGAGGAGGGGGGGGGGTGGGGAAGGGGGAGAGAGAGAGAGGGTACCGCCTCCCCCACTCACTCACTCACACACAGATATTACCGCGGGGGGGGGGGGGGTACACCGGCCGACGTGATAACTTGCTCCTTGACGGCGCTCGGCCGTCCCTCCGACGTGCGCGGCGCCGTCTGTACAGGCGCTCTCACGTCGGACGTGCTCGCCACCGCCCGGTTGACAGACTGACGACGTACGCGGCGCCGTCTGACTGCTCACTGATTGACGTTGGACGTGCGCATCGCTGCCGCGCCTCTCTGCCCCCTCCCCCCCCCCCTCCTCGCGCGCACATGCCAACCCTGGTGATGGTTGGTGTGGAAGGGGCGGACCAGGTACGGGGCGGGGCTATCTAGGGGGGCGGGGCAGGCACGGGGCGGGGCTATCTGGGGGCGGGGCTATCTGGGGGGGCGGGGCTACCCGGGGTCAGGGATCAAACTCCCCGCACAGAGAAACATGGCGCCGCTCAAGCTCTGCATTCCCGGTACGGCCCCCGGTACACAGAGGCCTCCAGTGCAGCCCCGTCTCCCACTGAGATGGCGTTCCGGGGCCCACAGCCCCGAGAGCGAGTGGCCTGTGACTGGAGTCCGGCACAGCCCGAATACGGCTCCATTTGGGGCTCAGCTGTGGTCAGTCAGTGCCTCTCACACCGGCTCTCAGGGCACCGGTTCCTGAGGAATAGCCCAACAACACGTGACATTTACACAGCGCCTTCCATGTCCGGAGGGACGTCCCGAGGCGCTGGACAGTTGGCTTTGGCTTTGGGATCGGAAGGGGGTGGAGGGCGGGGAGGGGGGGGGAGGGGGTGGAGGGCGCAGAGGTGGGGGAGGGTGACCTGAGGCGCAGTCGAAGGGCAGGGTCTATGAGACATGTCTTGAAGGAGGTCAAGGGGGGAGCGAGGCCAAGCGACTGGGCTGGAGTTCCAAAGGTGGGGGCAGAGAGGCTGAAGGCCTGACCGCCCAATGGTGGGGCGGGCCAGGCCGGGTGGGTGACGTCCGGGCGCACAGCACGGGCTGGGGGGGGGGGTCCGAGCACTGATGTGAGTCACTTGTGCCGCCACAGGGGAGAGGTTGTGTAGTATAGAGGACGGCACTCCGACCAGCGGCACCTACTCCAGGCACGGCTACATCTTCGCCTCTCTGGCCGGCTATGTAGTGAAGAAGAACGACAATGGCCCGGTAAGCACAGAGAGGAGCTGTACTCACCCACTGCTGTGGTTCCGTCCTTCAGATGAGATATTAAACCAAGGTCTATTCAGGTGGACATTAAAGATCCCGCAGCGCTATTTGAAAAGAGACAGCAGTTTCTCTCTCCCAGTGTCACTCACGCCACGGCTGTTTATGAGACACTGCTTCACACATCTGGCTGCTCTGTTTCTCCTGCAAAAATACACAGTCACCACACCACAGTATATTCTGTAAAATGCTTTGAGATGTCTCAATGCACACAAAATACACAGTCAATCCACTTTAGAATATATTCTCAATATATATATTGAGACATCTCAAAGATGTGGGGGAGGGGACACACTAATACAACAACAACGTGCACTTATATAGCGCCCTCCACGTAGGTTCCTCTGGCTCCGGTCTGCTCCACGTCCCCCGCCCCAACCGCCCTACTATCGGTGGTCGGGCCTTCAGCCTCTCAGCCCCCAGGCTCTGGAACTCCATCCCCCAGTGCCTTCGCCGCTTCCTCCCTTTCCTCCTTCAAGGCCGGTCTCAAAACCTTTCTCTTTGACCGAGCCTTCAGCTCCCCTCTCGACTCTCTTCCTCCTCCTCGCTCCCTCCCTTCCCTCCCCTCACCCTGACCATTTCCCCCCTCCTCTCTCCCTCCCTTCCCTCCCCTCACCCTGACCATTTCCCCCCTGCTCGGGTCATGACCCAACTGTGCAGCGCCTTGGGACGTCCTCCTGACGTGAAAGGCGCTCTATAAATGGAATCTTGTTGTTGTTGTTGTTGTTGTTAGTGTCTCAGAGCTCTTAACAGTGGCAGAGCCTGATTCCGAGCCAGGGAGATGGTGGGGGAGGTGGTCGTAACCACGGTCGAAGAGGAAGGTTTTCAGATGGGACTTGAGAGAGGGAGGGGGCAAGGAGGAGGGATTGAGGGAGAGTGTACCAGAGTTTTGGGGTGCAGTGGCTGAAAGCGCGACCTCGGATGGTGGGGCGGAGGGTGCAAGGGACGAGCAGGAGGCTGGTGCCAGTCGAGCGGAGGCGCCAAGTGGTGGATTGGGGAGTGAGGAGGTTGGAGAGGTAGGAAGTTGCCAGAGAGTGAAGGGATTGGTAGTCTAAAAGGCTGATGTGGTGCTGTTGGTTCCGGCAGGTACCGGCGATCTCAGTTGTGCGGGACACAGAGGCTCAGCTCCTCCCGGAGGTTGGAGTGGTGGTCACGTGTAAGGTAAGAACACGCGCTCCAGGGTCTGCACGGGGACAGTTTTGCAAGAGTGTTCCAGGGAATCGCCCTCCTCCAGCTCAGCCAGTCGCACGTTTGCATCCGGGTCAGTGGGTTCGAACTCCACCTGAACCTTGAGCTCACAGTCCAGGCTGACGCTCCAGCACAGTAATGGGGGACGCTGCGTTGTCAGAGGTGCCATCCTTTAAATGTGACGTTAAACCGTGATGCTCTCTTTACTCTGTGTGCGTATCTCCAGCTAAAAGCAGGGCAGGCTGGCTCATAACTAACACCTCACTGCTGGCTTTTGGATTGGATTTATCACTGTGTAAATCATCCGGGTGGCTGTGTGCCCGAACCCCAGTCACTGTGGCCAAACAAAAGTTTTAAGAATATTATCCTTGTATTTTTTGGGGTTTTGAAACCAGGTGACCAGCATCAACCCCCGGTTTGCGAAGGTTTCCATTCTGTACGTGGGGTCCACTCCGCTGAAGGGGGCTTTCAGAGGAACCATAAGGTAACAGAAAAGCATTGTCTCAAGACCCTGCTCTTCCTACCGCGCCTTCGGCCACCCTCCTACCCCTACGCTTCCTGCCCTCCACCCTCTCTGATCCCAACCCACTGCTCAGGTCCAAATCCCTGATTGTCCAGTGCCTTGCGTCATCCCGATGCGAAAGGCACTGTGTAAATGTAATTTGTTGTTGTTGTATTACTTCTTGTAGTTCCTTCTTACTTCAGCTCTCCGAGACACTGCCCCTGCGAAGGGCACTAAATAAATGCAACTTGTTGTTGATGTTCTGTAGCTCAGTGGTAGAGCACTCGCCTCGCAAGTGAGAGGATCTGGGTTCGATTCCCGGACAGGATGAAACTTTAGGCAAGTTTCCTTACTCCATACGCCTGTTTACCGAGCAATAAGTAGGAACCTGGTTGTTAGTTGATTGACAGATTGCTTTTCTGGGAGTAATCCTTCAAAAAAATAATAATACGGTCACTCAATGCACGACTTTTTGGGGTCACTACTGTGTGCAATTGGCTGCCACATTTTGTCCACAAATATACAGTCAATTCACTTTAGATGTATTTTCTGTGAAGCGTTTGAGATGTCTCGAAGACATGATCAGGCGCTATATCAAATGCAAGAATCATTATTATTATGGTGAAGAATTCAAGACAGTAAATGGTGCAGATAAACAAAGGCGGGGGAACAGAAGGTCAGGAGGACAGACATTCAGATTGAACAACTTCACACAGAGAGAGGAGTGAATCCTGAACAGACAAACACAGGAGCTCAGGTTAACATCTCGTGGTTCATGGTTGTGATCAGGAAATAACTTTGTGTTTTTCACAGGAGAGAAGACATTCGAGCCACGGAGAAAGACAAGGTGTGTTTTTATCTTCCTTTCTTTCTCTCACTTGCTCATTCTGCCCTGAACACAGAATGCGTTGCTGGCTTCACTAATTACCTGTCCCCTCCCGCCCACAGCTTGAAATCTACAAGTGTTTCCGACCTGGGGACATCGTGCTGGCCAAAGTGGTATCCTTTTCTGTGGAGGCTGTGCCTTTGCTAACTGGCCAGCATTGTAGTGTTGAAATCAAACTAGCTCTAGCTTGCTGCCCTCCCCCGTGCCACTAATTATCCATTAAGCGCAGAGTCCTGTAGCTCAGTGGTTAGAGCACTCGCCTCGCAAGCGAAAGGTCCCAGGTTTGATTCCCGGGCAGAGCAAAACCTTAGGCAAATATTCTTACTCCACACACCTCTGTTTGCCTAGCAGTAAGTCGGAACCCGTTGTTTGTCGATTGACAGATTGCTTTCCTGGGATAATAATCCCTTCAAAAAAATGGGTCAATCAATCCACGACTGTTTGTGAGACACTGCTGTGCGCAATTAGCTGCTGCGTTTCTTTCACAAAATATGCAGTCAATTCACTTTAAAATATATTTTTTGAAGCGCTTTGAGACGTCTTGAAGACGTGATAAGGAGCTATATCAAACCCAAGGATTATTATTGTTGGAAATTTGCCAATTCGCCTGTCATTTGCCTCTTGGCGGTGTGTGTTTGCATTAACAATAGTCACAACAGACAGTAGTGACTGTTGCAGAGTGAGACGCCTCGTGGGGTGGGTGTGAATGCCGGACTTCTTCCTGAGCGAGGAGGGATTATATTGCGCTCCAGTGACTGATGCACTTTCCTTAGCGTCTCTGTCTCAAGATCTCACTGGGCGACGCTCAGTCTAACTACCTGCTGACGACGGCGGAAAATGAGCTGGGGGTGGTGGTGGCCCACAGTGAGGCGGGTAAGGAGCCCAAGCGAGCGGTATCAACACGTGACGGGGGAAGGGAAGAGGGTTTGCGCAGGAGAACATAGACCCCAGAGGAGGCCATTCCTGTCTGCCTGTTAAAAGATCCCACCGCGCTATTCGAAAAGAGAAGGGAGTTTCTCTCTCTCCCCGTGTCCTGGCCAACAATCCCCCAAATAAAATTGGTCACTCACTCCATGGCTATTTGTGAGACACTACTGTGCGCAACTGGCTGCTGCGTTTGCCTACAAAACCGTCACTACACCAATAAAACAAGATTTTTCCTGAAATCCCCGACTCTTGGAAAGGCCGAGACACTACCATTACCGGTGCTCACTGTACGTACTTTGAAGCCCTATGGGTCGACCTATAACCATAGAGGGATGGAAACCCACAGTGTCAGGCGTTGTGAGAAGGGTTACCTGTAGGTGTGTTGCTGTCTCTCTGGCAGGTGCTCAGATGGTGCCGATCAGCTGGTGTGAGATGCAGTGCCCACGGACACACGGCAAGGAGTTCCGCAAAGTCGCTCGAGTCCAGCCCGAGTTCCTGCAGACGTGAGACGGCAGCGGCCGCTGACAGCTCCGTGTGAGGGGGGGGCAAGAAACCCTGCCTGTTCGTGTCCAGCTGAACTGTCTTGAGTGACAAGCCAGCCCAAGCCCCCTCTTCCCACCACACATACCTGTGCTGTCCTGATGCATCAACAAATCTCTATTTCACACCCTCCTCCTATTTCACAGCCCTCCAAATCCCAGCAATTGTTCTTTTTAGAAAATAAAGTGAAGTGTTTTTTTTTAACCTTTGACTGAGCAGGTGTCGCCTGATTATTTTCATGCTGTTTTCCCACTCGGCTGGCAGCTTGGCTCAGTCGCTCGCGTTCGCGCCTTGCGTTCGGAAGCTCGCAGGTCCAAGCCCCGTGCCGGGGACATTGAGCTCGCGGTCCGGGCTGACGCTCCAGCGCAGCACTTGGGGGTAGCGCTGCATTGACGGAGGTGCCGTCCTTCGGATGAAATCTCCATCTGTGTGTGGGAAACTGGTTTGGATACTCTTAAGCCCAGTAACAGGTGTTTGCATGTGCCGGACCCCTGGCTGTAACTCACTCCTGGGGGTGGGGGCATTCTATATGTGGAGTCCTGTAGCTCAGTGGTTAGAGCACTCGCTTTGCAAGTGAGAGACCTGAGGTCAATTCCCGGCAGAGGGCGAAACCTTGGGCAAGTTTCCTTACTCCACACAGAGCCTAATAATAATCCTCCAAAACCAAAAACAATAATAAATTGGTCATTTTCAATCTACGACTGTTTGTGGGACATTGCTGTGCGCAATTGGCTGCTGCGTTCGCCCACAAATATACAGTCAATTCACTTTACAGTGTGTTCTGTGAAGCGCTTTGGGACGTCCTCCCGACGTGAAAAGCGCTATATCAAATGCAAGGATTATTATTATTATTATTATTACCCCCCCCCACCCCCCCCACCCTTGGGTTAGATTCACTCCCCTCCCCCCCACCTTTCTGATCTGAGTGGTCCATCACATCTGGCATCGATTAAGTCCACTTGCCAGGCTCCTCCCGTTGTTCCAGGCACAATTGATCGAGCGAGTGCTGCGCAGGGGATGCTGGGAGTTGTAGTCCCCCCGGCGACCTAGGAGGGGGTGGGTGTCCCGTCTGTTACGTCACAGAAGCCTACAGGTCCCAGAGTTCCCCGCGCGGGGCGCGGCGCGGCCTTCTGCGCAGGCGCGGAGCCTGTCTGGGCTGCTGGCGGCGGGGAAGCAGCTGTGAGCGTCGGCACCAATGCAGCCGCTCAGCCGCCTGCACTGCTGCTGGGAGCGGGGGCGGGAATGCACTGGGGCCAGGTCAGTGCAACAGGACCGCGTACTCATGGGGGTCATGGGGGTAAACATTATACACATATGTTCAGGGCTTTTCCCCTCCAACTGCTGCCTGTGTGTGGGGGGGGGAAGGTCTGTGGGGGGGGGGGCTGTGTGGGGGGGGGTGTGGGGGGGGCTTGTGTGTGGGGGGGGGCTGTGTGTGTGGGGGGCTGTGTGGGGGGGGGCGTGTGGGGGGGGCTGTTGTGTGGGGGCTGTTGTGGGGGGGGCTGTGTGGTGTGTGTGGGGGGGCTGTGTGGGGGGGGCTATGTGTGGGGGGGGCTGTGTGTGTGGGGGGCTATGTGTGGGGGGTGTGGGGGGCGTGTGGGGGGGGGCGTGTGGGGGGGGGCTGTGGGGGGGGCTGGTGTGGGGGGCTTGTGGGGGGGGCTGTGTGGGGGGGGTGCGTGTGTGTGTGTGTGGGTGGGGGCTGTGTGTGTGGGGGTGTGTGTGGGGGGCTGTGTGTGGGGGGGGGGCTGTGTGTGGTGGGAGGAATCAGTCCAGTCAGGTTCTCCTTCCACCACTGCTGATCACCAGCCAGAACCCCCCCCACACACTCCCCTGTGTGTGGACGACAGGTGAAGGCAGAGGATGGGTTTGGGCTGTGATTTCCCCCCCGACACCCAACGCTCACCCCCCAAGTATTAGGCATCAGTTGACTGTTGCCCACCTGCACCTATAATAATAATAATAATAATAATCCTTGCATTTGATATAGCGCTATAGGACTACTACTTTCTGGAATGAGATAAAGAGGAGGCGTTGCTCGAGGGAGAGAGCGCGGGACTTCCGGGATCTTTAAAAAAAGAGAATTTTTAAAAATGTTTTTGAAAAGATCTGGTCACTCAATCCACGACTCTTCGCGGGAGATTACTGAGGGCAACCGTCTCCCGCATCTCACCCACAAGACACACAGTCACTGCACTCCGCGGCATATTCTGTGAAGCGCTTTGAGACGTCTCAAAGACGTGATAAGGTGCTATATCAAATGCAAGGATTATTATTATTATTATTATTACTACTGCACATAAACCAGGATTCCACATGATCCACAGGGTGAGGGGGTTGTGGGGGTGATTGAGAATTTGAGGATAAAACTGGAGGAACTTACCGAGCAGCCGGGGATTAATGATCCTCTCTGGTGCTCCTAATGAAAATGCATTTTATAATCCGCTTTTTTTCCCAGAGTTCGGAGAGGATGAAGTGGGAGGGGAGAGATTCTGTGCGGAATGGATGTTTGGAATTTGCTGGAGATTTACTAAAGCTAAATCTTGTTATTAATTATTTTTAATGCAGTGAATGTGAAGAGTACATCTCTCCACTGGTCAGACAGCCAGGTTAGAGACACAGTAACGCTCCCTCTACACTGTGTGTCCACACTCCCAGGTCAGGGTTAGAGACACAGTAACGCTCCCTCTACACTGTGTGTCCACACTCCCAGGTCAGGGTTAGAGACACAGTAACGCTCCCTCTACACTGTGTGTCCACACTCCCAGGTCAGGGTTAGAGACACAGTAACGCTCCCTCTACACTGTGTGTCCACACTCCCAGGTCAGGGTTAGAGACACAGTAACGCTCCTCTACACTGTGTGTCCACACTCCCAGGTCAGGGTTAGAGACACAGTAACGCTCCTCTACACTGTGTGTCCACACTCCCAGGTCAGGGTTAGAGACACAGTAACGCTCCCTCTACACTGTGTGTCCACACTCCCAGGTCAGGGTTAGAGACACAGTAAAGCTCCTCTACACTGTGTGTCCACACTCCCAGGTCAGGGTTAGAGACACAGTAACGCTCCTCTACACTGTGTGTCCACACTCCCAGGTCAGGGTTAGAGACACAGTAACGCTCCTCTACACTGTGTGTCCACACTCCCAGGTCAGGGTTAGAGACACAGTAAGCTCCTCTACACTGTGTGTCCACACTCCCAGGTCAGGGTTAGAGACACAGTAACGCTCCTCTACACTGTGTGTCCACACTCCCAGGTCAGGGTTAGAGACACAGTAACGCTCCTCTACACTGTGTGTCCACACTCCCAGGTCAGGGTTAGAGACACAGTAACGCTCCTCTACACTGTGTCCACACTCCCAGGTCAGGGTTAGAGACACAGTAACGCTCCTCTACACTGTGTGTCCACACTCCCAGGTCAGGGTTAGAGACACAGTAACGCTCCTCTACACTGTGTGTCCACACTCCCAGGTCAGGGTTAGAGACACAGTAACGCTCCTCTACACTGTGTGTCCACACTCCCAGGTCAGGGTTAGAGACACAGTAACGCTCCCTCTACACTGTGTGTCCACACTCCCAGGTCAGGGTTAGAGACACAGTAAAGCTCCTCTACACTGTGTGTCCACACTCCCAGGTCAGGGTTAGAGACACAGTAAGCTCCTCTACACTGTGTGTCCACACTCCCAGGTCAGGGTTAGAGACACAGTAACGCTCCTCTACACTGTGTGTCCACACTCCCAGGTCAGGGTTAGAGACACAGTAACGCTCCTCTACACTGTGTGTCCACACTCCCAGGTCAGGGTTAGAGACACAGTAACGCTCCTCTACACTGTGTGTCCACACTCCCAGGTCAGGGTTAGAGACACAGTAAAGCTCCTCTACACTGTGTGTCCACACTCCCAGGTCAGGGTTAGAGACACAGTAACGCTCCTCTACACTGTCTGCCCTAAAAAGGCAGCTATGGATGTGGTGATTGTGAGACGTGCAGTGCCGAGGGGGAATCGCTATCCAGTGTTGTGACTGTATTTTGTAAGCAAATGAGGCGGCCAATTTTCACTTCACGACGTCCCTCAAACAGAGGATCATTAATCCGCAGCCGCTCTGCGCATTTCCTCCAGTTTTATCCTCAAATTCTCTGTCAGCCCTCCACGTCCCCTCATTCTGTGGATGATGTGGAATTGTGGTTTGATGTCCGACTTAACAGGGCACAGACGGGAGCTCGGTTTAATGTCTCACCTGGAGGACGGCGTCTCTGACAAAGTGCCGGTCTCCAGCCCCAGGGCCGGAGTGCAGCGTCAGCCTGGACTCAACCCCACACCTGACTGACTCAGAGCCGAGAGTGCGAGTGACTGAGCCCTGAGCTGAGCCAAAGGGAAAAGGATTAGATTGAATCATTTGAGGAGTGGATGGGGCCGGGAAATTAAACTCAATGTGATATACGCGCTAGGGGAGGGGAGGTGGAGTATTGGGGGGGGGGGAGGTGGAGTATTGGGTGGAGGGGGGAGGTGGAGTATTGGGGGGGGGGAGAGGTGGAGTATTGGGTGGGGGGGAGAGGTGGAGTATTGGGTGGGGGGGAGGTGGAGTATTGGTGGAGGGGGAGGTGGAGTATTGGGAGGGGGGGAGGTGGAGTATTAGGGGGGGAGAGGTGGAGTATTGGGTGGAGGGGGAGGTGGAGTATTGGGTGGAGGGGGGAGGTGGAGTATTGGGGGGGGGAGAGTGGAGTATTGGGTGGGGGGGGGAGGTGGAGTATTGGGTGGGGGGGAGAGGTGGAGTATTGGGTGGGGGGGAGAGGTGGAGTATTGGTGGGGGGGAGGGAGTATTGGGTGGGGGGGTGGAGTATGGGGGGGGGGTGTCCAATCTGAACACTGTCCCCCTTGTCCCCACAGCCGGACACACAGACCTCCGCTCCCACTATTTCGTTTCGAGAAAGGGCTTTTCACAAATGCATCATCTACCTCTGGGTCCTGTGCAGGTCAGTGCCGACATCCGCTCCCTGTGTTAGCACCGCGCGCTGTGTAACACACTGTTCCCATCCTCTCACACCCCCCACGCATACACTTCCCGCCCCCCCACCCATGCACACACACGCACCCCCCTCCACCCCCCCGGTGTCCTGGCTGACAATCCCCGAGGTTGTTTGGGGATTAAATTTGGTCATTCTGTCTGGGGGACGCTGCTGTGCACAATTGGCTGCCGCGTTTTGCCCACAAAATACACAGTCGATTCACTTTACAGTGTATCCTGTGAAGCGCTTTGAGACGTCTCGAAGACGTGATCAGGCGCTGTATCAAACGCAGGGATTATTATTATTATTCTCCCTCGCTCGGCCCCGCACTGTGCAGAGCTCAGACACCGTGTCAATGCCGTCGTAAACTGCAGCTGCTGCTCCCCTCCTCACAGCTCGGTGGCCTTGGCCCTCAGTGGGCTGACCCTCTGGCACACTGTCCTGATCCTGCGGGGGGAGACCAGCATCGAGCGGCACATCAACAAGAAGGAGCAGCAGCGGCAGCTCAAGAGAGGCCGGGTGAGTCTGCGGAGAGGAGAGAGTGACAGCTTGGGGGGGCCTCAGCCTGGTGCTCAGTCACTTTGGGTAAACAGCCACAGGGGGTGGGGGCGGTGCTGTGTGTGTTTGGGGGGGTGGCGGGTGCTGTGTGTGTTTGGGAGGCGGGTGCTGTGCGTGTTGGGGGGTGGGAGCGTGCTGTGTGTGTTTGGGGTGGTGTGCTGTGTGTGTTTGGGGGGTGCTGTGTGTGTTTGGGGGGCGGGTGCTGTGTGTGTTTGGGGGGGTGCTGTGTGTGTTTGGGGGGGTGGAGCGGGTGCTGTGTGTGTTTGGGGGGGGTGCTGTGTGTGTTTGGGGGGGGTGCTGTGTGTGTTTGGGGGGGTGGGAGCGGGTGCTGTGTGTGTTTGGGGGTGCTGTGTGTGTTTGGGGGGGGGTGGGAGCGGGGCGGAATGGTTTTAGACAAAGGTCTCGGTGCTGACATTACCTCTCTCTCTGTGGTCGTCTCCCCCCCCCCCCCCAGGTTTTTCGGAACCCCTTTAATGCCGGCAAGTTAAACAACTTGAAACTGTTTCTCGGCATCGAAAAGAGGAGGTAAGACAGTCACTGACTGACAGGACACCGTCTTACACACACTCACACACACACACTGGGGCGTTGGCAGTGACAGACTCTCTGTGTTTCAGGCACTGGCTGACCCGGGTGCTGCTCCCCTCCTCTCACCCTCCGCACGGGGACGGCCTGACATGGAAGCTCCCGCAGAGCCTGGAGACAGAGCGCACGGTCCTGGCTATTTAAGTGGGAAGAGAATGCGGGAGGAACTCCTGCGTGTGGGGAGGAGAGAGAGAGAGAGAGAGAGCGAGCAGCGCGTGTGTCTGGATCTTCTCACCTGATCTCAGGGTGAGGGAGGGACCCACGTGGTCAGTGATTGGGGGTCACAGCAACAAGACTGACCCCCACCTGCAGCAGCAAGAGCACCGCTGAGCTGCGACCACACTGTGGCGGAGCAGGGGGAAGCTGGTCGGACTGAATTGAACAGGACTGTTAAAATTTTTTTTTAAACAAGACATTTTTTCGCCTGTCTCTTTGCCCTTTGGCCTGTTCCTCTCTCTGTACAATGTTTGTTTAACAAGATTTATTGGATTCAGAGACACTTTTTTTTAATGCAGAGGATAACTAGTTCCTTTCCTCCCTCCACTGTCTTGTCTGTCTGTCTGACTGACGTTGAACTGGGAAAGTGCTTGTGTCCGGAGTGAAGAACCTCGTGTTTAAGTCCCTGGATTGGAATGGAGGGGGACAACTGACCTGAGCTTGCAGCAAACTCGTCCAATTTAAGTCGTTTAGTGGTCAGAGCACTTTCCTCGCAAGCGAGAGGACCTGGATTCGATTGCCAGGTGGGACGAACCCTAGCAGTAAGTAGAAACCCGGTTGTTAGTCAGATCCAGAGTAATAATGCTTTCCAAAAAAAAAAAAAATTTGGTCACTCAATCCACCACTGTTTGTGGGACACTATCTGTGCAATTGACTGCCGTGTTTCGCCCACAAAATATATTAAATGCAAGGATTATAATTATCCCCAAACATTGGGCCGAACCCATTCCCTCCCACTGCACACAATCCCAATGAACCAAACCTCTTCCCATTGGATTCACTCCCAATGGAGGGAACCCTATCCCAATCACCTCCTGGTTTCTCGATGCCTTTTCCCCCTCATCGGGTCCAACCTCTGATCCTGTACCCAGTGAGTCTGAATCAGGAGTAAAAACAGGCTGATGCCACCCCCTCCACCCCCCACCCACACTGCCTCCCACCCCCTCACCCAAACTGTCCTCACGCTGATTGTCTGTAGTTTGGGGGTCTGTAAACAGTCAAGTGGAGGGGATCATCACTAATTATTAAAGCCCGTGTTCCCCGGTGAAAGCAATATTGTACAAATCACTCAGTCTCAGTGTAAGGTTTCTATTAAAGGCCATTGTTATATTGGAGAATAAATGCTGTGATAAAGCAATTACTGAGAAACTTTTCTACTCTGGGACCCTGGAGTGCAGGAAAGGGAATGAAAAGTTTAACTATCAGACACAATGGAGAGAGAGACAGAGAGGAGGGAATGGGGTTAGAGTAGAGAGCTCCAGTGGGGGAGCGAGCCCCAGCACAGATACGATGGGGAGAGAGAGAGCGGGGAATGGGGTTAGAGTAGAGAGCGCCAGTGGGGGAGCGAGCCCCAGCACAGACACGATGGGGAGAGAGAGAGAGAGCAGGGATGGGGTTAGAGTAGAGAGCTCCAGTGGGGCAATGAGCACCAGGAGAGAGGGATAGAATTTTACAACACAGAATCAGGTGTAGTCTTATTATGGGACGAGATAACAAGGGTCTCGCTGACCCCCACCCCCTCTCCC